TAATTAAGGGCATATACGCGAAACTAACAGCCAACATCATTCTCAATGTAAAAAGACTGAGAGAATTCCCCTTGAGAACAGGAATGAGACAAGGATGCCCTTTACCATCACTCTTATTCAGTATCGTACTGGAAGTCCTAGCCAGAGCAATAAGGCAAGAAAGGGAAATAAATGGAATCCAAATTAGAAAGGAAGAAGTAAAACTATCCTTATTTGCAGATGACATGATTCTATACACAGAAAATTCCAGAGACTCTACAAGAAAGTTACTGGAACTAATAGAACCCGTTTAAAAAAAAACCCATTGCCGTCGAGTTGATTTCAACTCATAGCAACCCTATAGGACAGAGCAGAACTGCCCCATAGAGTTTCCAAGGAGGGCCTGGTGGATTTGAACTGCTGACCTTTTGGTTAACAGCCACAGCACTTAACCACTACCCCACCAGGGAACTAATAGAAGGATTCAGCAAAGTGGTAGGGTACAAGATCAACACACAAAAATTAGTTGGGTTCCTCTACACCAACAACAAGGACTGATAAGGAAATCAAGAAATCAATACCATTTACAATAGCCCCCTAAAAGGATAAAATATCTAGGAATAAACCTAACTAGGGGCATAAAAGACTTATACAAGGAAAACTATAAAACACTATTGCAAGAAACCAAAAGAGATCTACATAAATGGAAAAATATTCCATGCTCCTGGGTTGGAAGACTTAACATGGTGAAAATGTCAATACTACCAAAAGCGATCTACAGATATAATGCAAACCTGATTCAAATCCCAAAAACATTCTTCAATGAAATGGAAAAACCAATCTCCAACTTTATAGGGAAAGAGGTCCCAATTATCTAAAGCAACACTGAGGAAGAAGAACAAAGTAGGTGGCCTCACACTTCCTGATCTCAAAACTTACTATACAGCCACAGTAATCAAAACAGCCTGGTACTTATTCAATGACAGACACATAGATCAATGGAATAGAATTGAGAACCCAGAAGTAAATCCATCCATCTATGGGCAGCTGATCTTCCACAAAGGGTTGAAGTCCATTCAATGGGGAAGAAACAATCTTAACAAATAACACAACTGAATATCCATTTGCAGAAAAATGAAACAGGATACATACCTCACACTGAGCACAAAGACTATTTCAAAATGGATCAACGACCTTAATGTTAAAGCTAAAACTATAAAATTTCTGGAAGATAACATGGGGACAAAACTAGGGGACCTAATTTTTGGCATAAATAGCCTATCAAACAAAACCAAAAACGCACAAAACAACAGAAGACAGATTAGATAACTGGAATCTCCTAAAAATTACATACTCATGATCATCAAAAGACTTTACCAAAAAAGTAAAAAGAGAACCTACAGATTGGGAAAAAATCTTTGGCAAGGACATATCCGACAAGGGTCCAATCTCTAAAATATATAGAAAACTTCAACAACTCAACCACAACAACAAAAAAACAAACAATCCAATCAAAAAAATGGGCAAAAGACATGAACAGACATTTCACCAAAGAGGACATTCACGTGGCCAACAAATATATGAAAAGATGCTCATGATCACTGGCCATTAGAGAGATGCAAATTAAAACTATAATGAGATACCATCTCACTCCCCTCCAAAATGGTAATGATAAAAAACAAAAAACCCAGAAAACAACAAATGCTGGCATGGTTGTGGGAAGACTGGAACTCTTACACACTGCTGATGGGACTGTAAAATGGTACAATCACTACGGAAAACAGTATGGCACTTCCTCACAAAGCTAGAAATAGAAATGCCTTATAATCCAGCAATCCTACTCCTAGGTATATATCCAAGAGATATAAGAGCAGTGACACGAATAGACATATACACACCTATGTTCATTGCATTATTCACAAAAAGATAGAAACAACCTAAGTGTCCATCAATGGATAAACAAACTGTGGTACATACATACAATGGAATACTATGCAACTATAAAGAAAAATGAGGAGTCCGTGAAACATTGTATAACATGGATGAATCGTTAGGACACTATTCTGAGTGAAATGAGTCAATTACAAAAGGACAAATATCGTATGGTCCCACTATTATAAAAAGTCAAGAATAGATACACACACATAAAGTGTTCTTTGATACTTACCAAGGATGGGAGGGGAAATCACTTTCTAGATAGTAGACACTTCTTATTTTTGGTGATGGGAAAGGCGATACTAAATACGGGTGAAGTCTGCACAACTTGACTAAGGTAAATGAAGACATTAAGAAGTACACAAGATAAAGGGACAATCTCTATAAATGCTGTAACATACACAATTTTGCAACAACAGGAATAACAATAAAAAATATGTGTGTGGTTACATAGGTAGATACGCATGCATGCATGTGTATAGGAAGGCATATGCAAGTAAATGCACTTGCATGTATAGTTGTAACTGTAGACATACGTATATACATGTTTGTGTGTGCTGCATATATATCCATATACATAATAAAGTACATAGGGGGCATAGTTATGGAGACTTCCTAGACATATCCAAACAACTCACAGGATTGGTTTACTGGGTTAAAACGCTTAGGACCGTAGTCTCATGGGATAACTCAGTCAATTGGCATAACACAGTTCATAAAGGTAATGTTCTACATCTTAGTTTGGTGAGTAGTGTCTGGATCTTAAAAGCTTGCAAGTGGCCATTTAAGATACAACTATTGGTCTCTACTCATCTGGAGCAAAAGAGAATGAAGGAAACCAAATACTCAAAGAAGAAACTAGGCCACAGGACTAATAGCTCACACGAACCATGGCCTCTTCTAATCTGAGACCAGAAGAATGAGATGGTGCCCGGCTACCACTACCAACCATTCTGACCAGGGACATAATAGAAACTACCAGACAGAATGGGAACAAAATGTAGAACAAAATTCAAATTCTTAATTAAAATTGGCAGACTTACTGGACTGATAAGAGACTAGAGGAACCCTTGAGACTATCACTGTAAGATACCCTTTGAACTTGGAACTGAAGCTATTTCTGGAGGTCACCTTTCAGCCAAAGAACAGATTAGCTTCTAACACCCGTGAGTAATGTGCTCCTTTAAACAATCAACTACAGGAGACCAAATGGTCAACATTTACCCAAAAGCAAAGATGAGAAGGCAAGGAGGGGAAGGGAAGCTAGATCAATGGAAATAATGAGAGCGCTGACACTGTGAAAATTATAACCAATGTTACGAAAAAATTTGTATAAAAATTGTTAAGTGAGAACCTAAATTGTGTATAAACTTTCACCTAAAACACAATAAGATATATTTAAAAAAGAAGATATATATATATAAAATACAACATTTCAATGAAAAAAAAAGGTCAATGGATAGAAAGGATGAACATCTTACACACTCTGAAATGTACCCAATATAAATCCATTTGGGTGTAGATGGATTTTTTTTAAAAAAAAAATAAACTTAGAAGACATTTAAATACACATTGTACTTAACTTTAATAGAAGAAAGTTGACACTTTTGACACATTGACTTAATTATGCAGTGAAATGGCAAGACTTAAAGGGGAATTCATGTATTTCAATGCAAATACTCATCTGGCATTACACTTGGAGAGATGAGGGTTGGCTAAGTCACGCTAATATATTTTTCGGCTTTGGTGTCTTCATCTGTTAAAAAAAAAAGGCATTAAACAGATAATCTCCATGGAATTTTCTAGTTTCACACTCTATGGATAAGTGCTAGTAACATTATCAATACATTTTGAATACGGAAAAGATGCTTCTTAAAGTTTAGATTTCAGCTAAATTGCCTACTTTCTTCCTGGACTCTAAGACCTGGGAGTTTGGGGATAAAGAGTTCAATTTCACAGGCCAGCTATTCAGTGCCTTTTTTCCTTGAATAATTTCTACTTTAATGGAGAAAGCCATTTTCCTCCTTACTCTGCCTCCTATCCCACAACATTCCAAATCCTGACTGTTCAGCCCTTGCCTTCCTGACAGTCTTTCCTTTTCAACCCAAAACATCTATTAAGTGATGTTCTGCTGATTATAAACATTTCCTTTTATGCATACTGGCTTTAAAAATATGCTAACTAGGCACTTGTATATGCTGCTCTTTGAGGTATAAATTGGTACAATCTTTCTTGAAAGCAAACTAGCAATATATAACAGTCTTAAAAGTGTATACTTTAAGGGTCCATTTTCACTTGAGGAATATAACCTAAGGGAATAACAAGGTAATGGTGGAAAGATGAATGTATATTATTAATGGATATTCAACACATAGCTTATGATACAAAACTGCTAACTAAAATACCTTACTTCAGGGGATTCACTGAAGAAATGTGTAGCACTTCTTGACTTGAGAAGGTATTTGTTATCTTTAATGAGGATAGGTGGTCACTTCTATAAAACTGTGTATTTTTGTCAAGACATACATAGAAAAATCTGTAAGGATGTAACACAAAAACTGTGGTAATATTGTCTTCAATAGTGAATTTTTTTTTTTTTGCCTATTAATTTTCTAATTTTTCTACAATGAATATGAATTACTTTGCTCACAAAGTAAATATGTCACGGGTTAAATAAATTTCAACAGTTTATTTAGAAGAATCATCAACCCACGAAGCTATTTAATTCCTTAGGTACTGTAATTGTTATTGAAAGATAGTAAGACTGGACATGTCCACCTCCCAAAAGAGATTCCAACTGCAAGGAAAGAATAACTTACTGAGATAAAACAAGCGACAGAACACAATTTTTGTTGTTTTTAGAGTTTGAAAAGACAAATCATATGTCTTCAGAATATCTAAATAGTTGTTTATTATTTTAAACTATGAAGAGCCAGGGAAACAAGGTACTGCAGCAAACACTTTTAATAAGAATACAAAATTCATACCAGAGGCACATTCTGGGGAATGTAAATGAACTATCACAAATAGTAATTCTGCTGGAAGAATAAAATAAGGCTCTCTTAGAGTACAAATACACAGGAAGGAATGATTTAAAATAAGTTTATGGTTTACAATCACATTACACTGTATTAAGCACTGAAAACAGGCATAGTAATTAAAAAGCCAGCTAAAAGGCACCTCAACATATATAACAAATCTTACAGTCCACAAAATTGGTGTATAATGGTAATTTTAAGTAATTCATTTCCACACAAAAGAAATGAACCGGTGAAGGGATAACTCTCAAAATGTTATGTCTATGACAAAAATTAAGAAAACTTTACATTTAATAAAGATTACATTACGGATAGAACCACAGAGTGGAGAAGCTAACCATATAACATATAATCAACACTGCCCAGCAACTACAACAGTACTGACCTTTCCAATCTCCCTTCTTCCTGTTACCACCACACTATCCTACATTATCTCTTCATTACCCACATGAAAAAGCCTCTCCCAGTTTCCATTCCTCAAAAGGAATTAAAAAAAACAAAAAAGCAAACTCAGAAGCTGATTTCACTATGAACTTTAACATAGTTTAACGAGTACAAAGAAACCCAAAATTTATACACAGTATTCCTTTCCAAAGAAGGAACAGATACATTAAACATTATCTGAAAGGGGTTTCTTTATGGGGTATGTACATTGGCTGAACAAGAATTACTGTATCTGAGAAGGCACACATCTGTGATTTAAGGCTTAAACAGTATTGTTACATACGGAAGTCAATAAAAGCTGTCTAGTAATTCACTTCTATCAAAATGGAATTTACCCCAAAATTAACTTTTCTAGCTCAGATTTCTACTCTAGAAATTGTCAAGAATCTCTATTCCTAAGTCCACCTGTCAAAAAATTCTCTTAAGGTTTCATTATGAATCAAAACAAATTGCTAACGTAAGTGCCCAGTGACTTTGGGTAATGCAGATTCACAAGCTGAAACACCTCACAAAATGACAGTGCAACTCCTGTGTCTTTAGAAAAAGTGTAAACAACTTACACCAGTACAGATTCGTTTTTAAAAAGGTATTTGTCACAACTCCACAGCCAACCAGTCATTTATGAGGGGCTGCTGTCTCTGTGCGGATGCTGCAGGAACATCATATAATTTTACTCTGCAAAATAGTTTCTTTTTTCTTTAAGACAGTACATGAAAATGAATCTCTTAAAGATGTTTAATATATTCTTATATAAAATATCTGATGTTGATACAAATCATGTAAACCTCCCTTTGGAAAAGTTACAACTGGCCCTCATTTCCAGGACCAAAAACCTCAAATTTTTATCTTGTCAGTGCAAATCTATATTAGATGTTTTCAAACTACAGTAATAGCCATCAATCCTCACCATACAAAAGGATTTCTCCAAAAGGAAAATTACTGTGTCCAGATTATAGAAATTATGTTTACATTAAAGCCACCCACATTCCCATTAAATTTCATAGTTCAATTGTTAGAAGTATGAAAAAGGGAAAAATTAAAGCTGTCTGCAAGAATCACTACAATGGCTGTCACCCCTTCCCACTTCCCCTAATCTGCTTTATTCTTATTAGATTTGTTTAGAAATATAACAATGTGACATTTCCCCCCGGTGTGATTACTGTTCTTCAAGCCAAGATGGGGCATCCACTCCAGGAGTTTTCAATTTGATATGGAACTGTTTAAGTGTCTGTTCAAGCTGCTTCTGATTCCCAGCAAAGTAAGCAGCAATGGCATTGTGGAAAAGGACCAACTGATTGTGCAATACTTTAACCTGTGGATAGAGCAGAGTTACAAGACCAAACATTAACATCAATGACAATGAGATATGAGGTGATTTATTACATACCTTAATTAAATAGTGAATCTCTCCTCAAGAAAGGCCGTTTTATGAATGATAAAATATTTCACACATACCAAGTGTATATGGCCTTGCAGGGTCTCTGAGTGTTGGATGACTTTCTAATGCTCCCCATGCCCCACCCTCAAGTTAAAGAGAAAGAAGATATCTAACAACAGGTCAGTTTATGAAGGTAAATATATACTCTGCTAACCATTTTCAAATATTATTGAAGGCACTGATTGAAAATATCATTTAATTCTCCCTCAAGCTAAGTATATTCAAAATCATGAGATATCAAACAGAGAATATTCGATACAAATAATCCCCATATAATATATGCTAGATACCAACCATGGACATCATGAGACTATGCTTTATGTAAAACTGAGTAGGTTGGATACTTTTAAGTACTGTATTTGTTTGCAAAGAATCAGCAAGTGGCAGCAAGTGTCCAGAAAATCCATTTGCTTTAAGCTCATATGATTCTCAGTTATTCTCAACTGCTTATTACTTCTAATGATATCAAGAGTATGTTTTAACAAAGCAACACTCTATAAATCTTTCTTAAAGAAATCAGCAAAGCATCACAAAGACTTACGAACCTGTGCTTCCTGAGGTCTTATACATGACAGCAAAATACTCAACAAGAAAGCATAAAATACATTCTGATTTATTAATAACATACAGTATTATTTATCATGAACACTGAGGTTTAAACATGTTTAATGATGTGAAAATGTCTAAATATATGCTAAGTGAAAAATAGGATACAAAATTTTATATATGTATGACATCTGTGTTCATTATATTACACACATATTCTCTCTAGCCATTTCTTCCTCCATCTACTACCTCAATAAAGGAAATAATAAAAACATTAGCTATTTTTTATTTGTAAAGCCTTTGTTTTTAAAAAGGAAAATATCATAAAAAGAAAGCATGCTCAAGATTATAAAATTCAAGCAGTACTGAAGAGTATAATGGGAATAGTAAACATCTCCTCATCTACTTGCCACACTTACTCCCCACCCCACTTATTTGATATGCTGATATCAAAAATTCCCAAGCCAAAATCCATACTGTCAGAAAAAAATGTCATTTTTTAAAATTTTAACTACAGAACAAATCCCCAGATGGGTGAAACTGAGAAGCATGAAAAAGAAAGTAATAATATCTGCTAAGGTATAGTTTGAAAGTAAAATTTCAAAAACAAGTTACCAAAATGTATCGTTTGATCTCACTTCTATTTTTAAAAACATGAGTATGCACATGCTTATGAGCACAGGAAATATGTCGAAGGATAGTCATTCATTTGAGAGGCATATAGGATTGTGATCAAAAGCACAGGCTCTGGAATCTCAGGCAAATCACCTACTATTTCTGTAGGAAATGAGGATACTAACAGTGCCTGTCAGTGATTGGATGGTGGATAATGTAATTTTAAAAAAGTTACCTGCTATGTGGAGAATGAACTGTAGGAAGATCAGAGTGGAAACCAAGCAACAGTTAAGAGAGTACTGCAGTGGTCCAGGTGAGGGAGGTCAGTGGCTTAGACCAGGGGACTGGCACTGGATAATGTGAGAAGTGGATATATTTTGGTGGAAGAGCTGACAGCAGCTAAGTTATTTTTTAGCAGTTAAATTTTGAATGGTGGAAGTATGGGTATTCTTTATACTTTCTTATATTATCTAAGATCCTTAAAAACAACAAGTACACATTATATAATCAGAAAAAAAATACTTTCATTAATAAAAGGGTAATATTTTAGTAAAGAGCACTAATGTAGGTCACTACAATTCGCAAGAAATATTAAACTGTATGAAGATTAGATAGAATTTAAATCTGGTTTCATCTGTGATTTTAATCAGCATTTAACTAAGTTACATGAAACACCAACAATCCACCGCAACCACTAACATTTTTAAATGTCTGAGTCACTTCACTTGACCAGATGATTTACTATGTAGAACTAAGATATCACAAAGGAACCAACAAAGCTTCTTTCCTGAAAAAGAATCTTCCTGAGCGTGTTTTTATAAAATGGTTTGGAACGGCACAGGGCAGTATACTGTGTGTGCCAATATACAATTATGTAAGAGTGGTGATGGAAAGGTGTAACATCTACGAAGGTGACATTACTGCTTAAAAAGAGGTAGAAGTTAGTTGTTTCCCAGTCTAATACTGGAAGAAGTCATCAGCTGAGAATAAAATCAGAGAAATTTTAAACTAGAGGGATCCTCACAGATTATCATAAACAACCATCTGGTTTTACATATGAGAAACTGGGACACAAGTGAGTATTAAGTGATTTGCTCTGTGTCATGTGATGAGTGAGTAGCAGAGTTAGGACCAAAACCCCAGTCTTGCGATTCCTTGCCCAGTGCATTCTCCTTTGCACAACCCTGCCTCCCAACACTGCAAAAGTGATCTGGCTGAAGAAGCAAAGCTGCATTCTTTAGACTACAGGGGGAATAACTGTTCTGACTGGTCCTGGGCACTTCTGGATCCATTTAATTCTGTGCACTGCATGCAAACTCTGCATGCTCTTCAGAACAGCAACAGAACAGAAAAAACAAATAATAAGCACAGCTCAGAGGCTGGCCGACATGTCTAGTAACAACCCAGGGCCACACTCACATACTCTGAGATTGTTTAATCAGAGATCAAGGCCTGCATCACAGCTCAGTGCAGCCACAGTGTAAACAGCCCTGACTGAACCCTCTTTTAATGTGAGGTATTCACCCATATGAACTTTTTGTGGGAAGAGGGAAAGATCAAATGTCTTTGATGCTACGATAGCCAAAATCAACTGGTGAAGAAGTGAATATGATTTCTGCCCAGCAACCTGTACAGTATTGACACCCCAGGGAATGAACATCTCAAGCCTTGAGAACAAGTTAGGTTACTTCTCTAGCTATTCAAACCTTAGGGCACGGGCACTGCTGATTCACCCAGAAGTTGTTTGAAACAAAAGGAATTTTTCTTCTTCCTCTGATACAGATAAAGTTTCTAGCAGGCATATAGTTTAAAAGGACCAGATAGCTTGAAACAATGAAAACTAAGAAATGTCTATACAGACTAAAAGAGGTCCATCTTGAATTTATCTGCTCAGACATTTAAGGCCTGCAAATCTTTCCAAAAGAAAACCTTTGGTGCTGGGTACAAGGATGACAAAAAAACATGTGACACTTACTATGTGTCAGGCCCTGTACTGGGGATACAAGGGTAAGTAAGGCATGGGAAAGCAGAAAATGATGATTAGTGTGATAAATGAGTAGGAGTAGTGAAAATACATTGGGTTATAAAAAGGGCTTGTAGGGACAACAGGGTTATTTCAAGAAAGGCTGAAAGAGAGCATTGGTACACGAGAGCTCTCACTCCCCTGGCCCTCTGCTTCTTAGATATGGGGGACATATGAAAGGATAAGGAGCCTCCATCTAGAGGCCATTACTAGGGAAACAGAGTAATCACATAAAGGCAGGTTATAAAAAGGCAGTTTAGAAGATGAGGTAAGTATTCAATTGTTGTGAACTGTTACTATAATGATGGCCCCCAGTGAATCACCGCTCTCACTATCTGGGCCCTACACCTCCTACAATGAAAATGGGCTTGACAATGTAACATTAAAAATGAGGCCTGATAAGCAAGTGCTTGACCTCTTGGACTACTGCCCCCACCTTGTGAGGAAGCCCAGCTAGCCTTCTTCAAGATGAAAGCCCAAAGGGAGAGAGGCCCAGTCATTCCACCTGGGCCGAATGCCCAGCAGGCCCTACAGTTGAAAGTGAAACCAGCAGAAGAACCCACCTATCCAATCCACAGAATTGCAAGAAATAATATATCATTGTTGTTCTAAGCCACTAGGTTTCGGGTGGTTTGTTATGCAGCATCCATGAAAAAGGTTAAAAATGCAGTGTCCCAGCAATTAAAAAAAAAGGCTACAGAAAATACAGTGAAAAGGAGGAAAATCAGAAGGGGAAGGACATGCTTGGGAAGAAGAAAGGCTAAGCTGAATAAGAAATACAGGAACATAGAGCACAGAAGGGGGCACAGTCAGGGAAATCTCTTAGATATAACCAAACACCTCATGGGATGAAGATCTTAGGCTCGAGGGCAAAAGACCATAGATTCAGGAGACATCTATATCAACCGACACAACATAGTTCATAAAGACAATAGGTCTGCACTCTACTTTGGTGAGTAGCGTCTGGGGTCTTAAAAGCTTGTGAATGGCCATCTAAGATACAGCTATTGGTCTCTTCCCGTCCAAAGCAAAGGAGAGTGAAGAAAACAAAACACTCAAGGGAGCAATTAGTCCAAAGGACTAATGGACCACATGAACCATAGCCTACACGACCCCGAGACCAGAAGAAATAGATGGTGGCCAGCAACCAGTGCCAACCACTATGACTAGGATCACAACAGAGGGTCTTGGGCAGAGCGGGAGAAAAACGTAGAACAAAAAATCAAATTCACAAAAAAGACCAGACTTACTGGTCTGACAGAAACTGGAGGAACCCCTGAAACTATGGCCCTAAGACATCCTTCTGACCTGGAACTGAAGCCATTCCCAGAGACTACCTTCCAGCCAAACAATAGATAAGCCCATAAAATAAACATTAACACTGGAAAGGAAAGTGCTCCTCAGAACAATCAATTATACGAGATCAAAAAGGCAGTATTTGCCCAAAAGCAAAGATGACAAGGTAGGAAGGGGTAGAAAATCACGATGACAGGAAACGGGGAACCCAAGGAGGAAATGCGGAGACAGATGACACATTATGAGGGATGAAACCAAGGCCATGAAACACTTTATGTACAAATTATCGAATGGGAATCTAATTTGCTCTGTAAACTTTCATCTAATGCCCAGTAAAAAAAGAAACAAAGGGACAGAAGAAAGGTTTGTGTCTGGGGAGGTCAGGATTATGGGT